AGACTCCTCCCTGACTTGCTGCTTCCTTATTGAATTTCTGAGGCATATTGTTTCACCTTTTGTATCTTCAACACCAAACACCAATGTCCCACTGGGCGTGCCAAATTGTTTCGCGCGGGTTGTCGCTAACAATTAAAAAGGGATCAGACGATTGTGAAAGGAACAAATCTCTTGAGACAAAGTCCCAAAAAAGGGTGTTCTATTGGTGATCACTTTACAATTAGAACGTAAACAGAATGCCTACAAGGGGCGCAAGCACACGAGTACTGAAAAGAAATATTTTAAGTCTAAACTAAGGAATTGAAATTACATATTCTCTATTTGAGAGTGTTTGATTCGGATCCTTTACTCTATGTCTTTTCTTCCTTTTATATTCCCTTGATGATCTCTTCGTGATCAACCGCTTAGAAACCGCTTAATTGCTTTATAACTGCCCACTTTCTTCATGGTGACCAACTTATCGTGGAACTGCCGTCTCTAACTGTTGCCATTACTCTTTGTCATTCAACCGTCCTCAACTAAATATCCTTGAATCGTGGAACGTGATAAGATTACCCAATAACTACTTCGATAATTGCACTTTTGGATAACCATAATATCTTATGTTTGCTAAGATCCTGGGCGATTCGAAGGTTTGGGCGAGAACAGGGTCATAACTCTGGGCGACTGCAAGGCACTTCATTCGCTCAGATCTTGGGCGTCTTGCAAGTTTGGGCGATGGTGTTACCGCGTTCGTGGGCTTCCACTGCATTCATTGATAACCCTATTCGGGCCTTTATCCTGAATTGCGCAGTTGGGCTTCATTATTTAGTCTATTCGATTTGGGCTGCACTTTTAGCGTGTCAAAACAGCCACAACCACTATCGCAGAAATCGAGGAGGGCGAAGAGCGATGAAGAAATTCGGGTGAAGAAGTTGTTGTCGACAATTTTTTCTGAAAGGGGTTTTTTGTTTTTTGTTTTTTGTTTTGTTTTGTGCAGTTGTAGTTGTGGTGGTGAATTTTTATTTGATGTGGATTGCAGGTGGTGGTAGTTGTGAAAATGGTGATGGTGATGGTTGTGCTATTGAGGTGGTAATTGCAACGGTTGTGGTGCTGGTGCTGGTGCTGGTGCTGGTTTGGTGCAATTTGCAGCTTGCTAGTGCGGTGATATGGTTGTTGGTGTGATCTGGAGGTTGTTAGCTGTAGTGATGATGGTTGTTGGTGATAGTTGTTGATGTGGTGGTAATGGTTGTTGATGCGATTTGTGTGTTTGCCCTGCATCATTTTATTGACTCCTGGTGATGGTGTTGTTGCAATGGTGGGCATGGTTGGTGGTACAGGTGGTGGTGGTGGTTCGTTAAGAGGTGGTGCTAGTGTAGTGTGGTGATGGTGGTGGCAGTGGATTTGGAATGGGTATAGGTGGTGGTAATGACAGTTGGTGCGGTCTATGGTGGTGGTAGGACGGAATGGGTTGAATGAAGAACAATTATGACTAATTATTGGGTAATCGTGATCAATAAAACGAATAAAGTGTAATTAATAAATAACACGTGACCTAAAAATATGCAATTTGTAACTAAATTTGTACTTATGACTTATAATTTGAGTTTTCGTGATTAATAAATAAGTTGTGATTAATTAATTTGATAATTTGTGACTATGAAATAAGTGGTAACCTATAAAATTTGTGATTCATAATCGAGAAATATGTTGTAACCTATAAAACAAGTCTTTGATCAATATAAGACGCAGTTAAGCAATAATAGGGCACAGTCAAATTACAATAGGTCACAATGAACGCATTGCAGGTTACAAACATTCACAATGAAAACAAACATGATTAAAGAAAGTCACAGTTAACACAGACTCGATCACAGAGAATCACATTTAATATGTAAAATATCACAAATAATCACAATTAACAAAAACTAGACACACTAAAGTCATTGTTCACATATTAGATCACAAAACACTGTTAACACAAATATAGTCACATACTGTCACAGTCAAGCGGTGCTGGTCACATATAGTCAAAGTTAAGACATATTAGGTCACAAACAAGCACATTTAAGAATGACCTAGTCATAAGCAATCATATTTAAGAAATGCCGGATCACATACAATCAAAGTTCAGAAAAATTTGGTTACAAATTACATAAAGTTACAGTCACAAAGACACAATTGTAAGTTATAATGATATATAATTTATGGTCATAATTACGTGCAAGTTAAAAATCATAGGATGTTACGATCACAGACATATAAATTCACAATTGTAAATTAGTTACAAATCACAAATTTTTATCGATCACAAATTATAAAATTAATTGCTCGCGACTTATTTGTCTATCACTGAGACAAAAATCACAATTACCAAGTTAGTTACAAATCAAAGAGTTAATTGTTACAATGGTCACTGAACTTTGGTCCATGTTTTTTATTGGTCACTGAAGTTTAAAATGTTAAGTTTTGGTTACTAAACTTAGGTCAATGTCTTTGATTGCTCACTGAACTTGGGTCCATGTTTTAGATTGCTCACTGAAACTTAAAATTTCGAGTTTTGACAACTGAACTTTGAAATATGTCGTACGTTACTCACTAGCATAACTGTTGAAATTTGAAAAATATCGAGTTTACAGTGAGTAATGTACAACATTTTTCAAAGTTCAGTGAATAATATACAATATTTTTCAAAGTTTAGTGAATAATGTACAACATTTTTAAAAGTTCAGTGGCCAAAACTTGATATTTTGAACTTCAGAAAGCAATTGAAGACATGAACCTAAGTTCAATTACCAAAATTCAACATTTTATATTTTAGTGATTAATAAAAAACATGAATCTAAGTTCAATGATCATTGGAACAATTAACTCTCAATCACACGTTTCTTAGGTTATAGTTATTTATTAGTCAAAAATTACTAATTTTTTATTGGTCAAATTACCCAATAATTGGTCACAATCCTATCCCATCCCATTCCATTTGGCACTTTGATCTCTCCCACTCACTCATACATTCTGCAAATGAATTTTTCGTCAAAGTCCTCACCTCCAAATCCCACACGCACACCTTCTCATTTATCCAAATTGTCCGGGTTTTCTTCTCTCTATATCGTCCAATATCTTTGTATAATTATATAGATTTTGCATCAACACCCAAAAATCTCTAGTTATTATTTTCTACTTACGCATCGATGTTAATGGAAATTGAATTGAATCAGATCCATTCAGACCCACATTTCAACCTCAAATTTCTCTTAGATCCCTCTTTGTCTTCTATTCCCATCCCCCCATTTCCCAAATCCAATAGACCAATTCGTAATTCATCATAGTCAATTCTCTTAAATTTGTAGCTCAGATTAAACGGAAGTGTTACATGTACATAATTGTCTACATAATGGTGTACATAATTATATGTGGCACTGGATCCAACCTTTAATTCAAATCTCACACTTGCACATCAACAACCGAATGATTACCACATCACATTATGGACACCATTATGTGCAATAATTATATGCAAATAGAATTTTCCCAAATTAAAAAAGCTATTTTTAATTTTATTTTTGGGTGAATAATGAAAAATGTCTGCAATGAAATCATCTGGCCAATTTATTACGATCGGTTTAGTGGCAGTATGGTATTATTCTAAAATTGGGGTGTTGGTTTTAGACAAGTATTTATTGAGCAATTATGAGTTCAAGTTCCCCATTCTCCAGACCATGTGCCACACGACGGCGTGCTCTTTGTCAGAGGTGAGGATATCTTGCGGACGGTGAGAAGAACTGAGAAATGGGAGTTGGGTGAGATAAAGATTAGGGCAGCGCTACACTACCAAAAAAAAGTTTTTACACCCACAATGGAGGAGGTCAGCATTTTTTGTGCAATTTTTAATTATATGAGACCGACGTGTTGAAAACCGACCTTGTATGTCTGGTTTTATTGTTAAGATTGGATTATGCCCCTAATTTGATCCCTATTTTTGGGTAAAATATGTTATAGAGCAGTAATTTTATGGAAAAATTTGTGGTTAAAGAATATGAATTTTTTTTGAAATACGTGTATAAATATTTTATAGAAGAACATATGGTTGAAAATGAGATTAGAAAAAATAAATTCTATTTTTTTAAAAATGGGACTCAAACAAAGACATATAATATATTTTATTATTGTTGTTAATAATTTAACACCTGATTTTGTGATTTTTTTTTTTTTTAAGTTTATTAAATTTGAATTTGTATTCTTAAGAGTATTATATTTACATATTTTTCTCAAAAAACTGAATAAAATTATGAGTCCAATGAAACATATGACTATAAATGAACTCTTGACTGATTTTTTAATAAATAAAAATTTTACCAAACAAGCACATAACTTCTTTCTAGAAGATTATTGTAACTAAAGATAACTTATCTTTAGCATGCGTTCCGCCAACATTAGAAAGTGAATGCCTGAATTCGACTCGAATTTGTGGCCTAAAAGAATTCTTGGCTAGTTGGAAAAAAAAAGAAATTATTAATAATAATAATAATAATAAGAATAATAATAAGAAGGACTAATCGATTCAGGAACCTAGAGCCTTCAAATGAGACGATTTATCGCACATTTCAGTGATTTCACCATACAGCTCGAAAACTAGATGTTGGAGACATACCAGTATCTTAAAACACTAAACATTGCAATTCATGTGCTTGTTTGGGTGTGCTTAAATTATTATTTAAACAGCAGGTCTCACAAAATGCATATATATAAAGTAGACAATCAAGACATTAGGTAAAGAAAAATCAATTTCCAGACGGAGCACAATCCAATCCCACTAGGAGAGGATGTTCATTATTTGAATACTCTTTTTTCTATATACTCATTTTCAACCACATATTCACACAATTAAATATTTTGCGTATAAATTCAAAACTTTTCTCTACTTTTTACCTACATTCTCCTGAAAATCACCATTCAAAAAATTGTTATTAAGAAAAAGGGTCATCAAACAGGGGCCTTACAGTCCAACAAGGCCAAGGGCTGAAAATGGAAATACCAATGATCTTTACTTCAAATAAATATCTTCGATGACATTTAAAATTCTTTGCAAGCAAGAATGCAGGAACTCGTGCAAAATGCAAATATAAACCACTACCGATTATTTTCTCAACCATCAAAATTATATTTTTGATTAGTTTCTCGGTGATCAAAATTCAACCAGGGATTAAGAACAATAGGAAATTCGTACTTCATTTAAAATCAGGCTTCTCAGGATATGTGCATCCTGACCTCTGGATAATGACATTTGCAGCATAACATCCTGCTTTTACACAATCTTCAATAGGTTTCTCTTGAACCAATTGAGACAGAAATCCTCCAACAAAAGCATCCCCTGCAACAAATGTAAATGTAAAGTTTTCAAATCACATGCTTCCATCTGGTAGTTGTATAAGATTGTGAGCAGAGTGGTGATGGTATTAGCTAAGTTGAAAGAAGATAGAAGAGTCATTCACTTCAAAGAATAGTAATTGCAGAGGATGTTAATAATGATACACGGCCGGGATTTGAGTCATTAATTGGGGTTGATTTGCTAAGAATAATTAGGGAGTTAAATTATGGCATACAGCCTCCCAACAAACTACAAGTTTTCAATAACTTCAAATTTGTTTGTGTATGATAAGAACATGCCGAGTAGGTAATCAGGCTTTTTGACATTATGAAAAAAGGTAAAGTCACGCACCTGCGCCATTGGTATCAACGAGTTTTTCTTTTGGCAATAAAATTACAGGAAACAACTTCACCTTCCCATCCTCTGCGACAACAACTGGATCTCCGCCCTGAGTGATGACAGTAATTCTTTTGCGTGTTTCATTGACCTTTGGCAATTGGGAAATTTTCAAAGCTATTTCTTCAACATTTTCAGTCTGTTCATAAAAAACTACAGTTAATTATATTACTAAAAAAGATGTCAGCAAATCTCGTATAAAGATTACCTCCCAGCCATGAACTCTGGAGAAAGTTCTTGCCTCTGTTTCATTTCCAAAGACGATGTCAGCATACCTGAACCCAAGTAGTAGGAATCATCAATCAATTTCTCGATGACCCATTCAAAAAGTTAATCAATAGAATAGGATGTTGGCCTTACGGAAATACTTTGTCTTGGACATCCTTGAAGAACTCACAGATAAATGGAGCAGAAAGGTTAGTAGTGAAAATCTGCACTTGCACGAATGATTATAGAGGTAGGAACAGTTTCGTCAGAAAAAAAGCTGTTCAGCAACAAATTGCACAATAAAATTTTGGTGATAATTTTATACCTTATTTTTAGCAGCTGCATGCTCAGCAACAAGCATTATAGAATCTGGGGAAACTGTTAGAAAAAATCCGGCGATGTAGATGTACTTGGCCTTTTCAACTGTCAAAATGTAGAGAGAAATCAGCTTCACAGAATGCTTATACAAAACAAACAGTATCCAAGTTGAAGCTAACTACCCAAAGCCCAATTTTCTGGTCTCTTCAAATGATCAGATTTGTAGCAATTTGCAGCTGACAAATTGGCAATAAGTGATCTGCAACGTATTAACCCAAAATATCGTTAGTAAAGTAGAAAAATGGACACAAAAGACCCTTCAAACGTTTTTTGCTTGGGTTAATAACAGAGTACAAGGGAGCAAACAAAAAAACTTTCTAAAAGAATTTGCTCCAAAAAGATCTAGTAGCTTCACTGACAGCGGCAAAACCAGAAAACTAAACTTCACATGGCTTATCTAAGAAGTTCCATTATAGTGTAAACATGTGCCTCATAAAAATGCTCAAAAGCAAATGATAATGTGTCATTTTTACTAGAAAACAGCTGATGCACAAAATATGAATCATGGAAGTTAATTATGCAGGTAATCTTATGTCTGATATTCTAATAGGTTTTTTAGCACAAATTCTTGAATGAAATTCCATATTAGAGATGCACATTACATCATGAGCTACCAAACATAATTTCAAATATTGCAATATGTTCGATGTGCAAACACTACCAGAGTTCTATAACTGTTCCCTCAACATAAGAAGTAAAAGTCAGATGCCACCATTAATGGGGCCTTCCAAAGATGGACTCTTGTCAAAGTTCTTCCAAATTAGCTTACCACACACCTGTTTCTTCAGCAAATGCAATTCTAGCAAGTAGAAGTCCATTTGCTTTGGGTTGCCAAATGCACATTAAGTCCATGTTTGGTTTTGAGAAAAAAGGGATTTTTAGTAGATTTTATTCAAAGTTGATGACATGTGTGATTGAAAAGTTGCTAAAAAATCATGCATCCAATGAAATGTGTGATTAAAATTAGTTGTTGACTTTGATTTAGATTTTTATCAACTTCTTTAGCTAAACAAAACAGGGGCTAAGTTATTGATGGCTGGAAAGTCCAACTGGACAGCCACCACATTGTAGTAGTTTAATTGCGGAATGTGGCACTCAACATAGATGTAGCTCCACAATGTAATTTTTTAACAGCTTGTTACCGTTCGAGAAATAGTTTGTTAAAGTCAAATCACTTTTATATGCTGATATTTTATCCTATTTTCAGAAATTGCGTTATAAAAGCAGGCAATGTTCCCAAAGAACCAAGCAGAAATGAAAACAACAGGTAAGAACAAGTCCCCAATCTAAAATGTAAAAGGACTAGTGACAATAGTATGATCACTAGAACATCATCAAAAAGATCCATTTTCTTTCTTTTTTGACAATAGCATGATCACTAATACACCATAAGATCTATTTTCTTTCTTTTTCATTTTAGAGTACCACTCACTTCTGTTGAATAAAAGTTAAATGACATCTAGAAAATTATGGTATAAATTTTATCACAGTGGTAAATATCAGAAAAATCCAACTTAGTGAATTAGAAGATAAGATAATACTAAAAAGAAAAAAAAGGATGGTCAGATACAAACACATGGCAGGCTGGGAATAAAATTTTAAATAAATGAAGGAAACTAACCTTTCACCACCAACCACACATACAGCACAAGTACCAGTAGGAGAATCATCTTCATAGTAATGAACCTAATGCAACCACAAGGAAGGGACAGAATATATTTCCATTATGGGATTTTACCTATGAAGAAACTGGAATAAACTAAAAACCAAGGCAGGAATGAAAAAGACAGTAATACAGTAATGGTGAACGGTGCCAACAATATGATGTTAAGCAAATATAAGAAAAGTAAATGACAAAAAGTGATTTTCGCATTACAGCGTTTTTCCTGGACAAGTGAAAATCACGGCCTCATGTCAAATTGTCAGCAATGACAATGATGGATGAGAAAGCTATAAATGGACAAAGAACTTACATTAACTCCAGCTTCTTTTGCATTTTTCTTCATTTCCTCCCCATATTTGTCCTTTCCGATGGAACCCATGTAACTGGTTGCACCAGGAATCTGAAGCATCCACTGTAAAGAACAATTTGAAACTTATTTTACTGTAAAAGCTAGTAGCACAATGTTGTTAACAGTTTTAGATCCATAAAATTGACTTCAGATTACCTGAGCAACTCTGATTGAATTTTGAGTAGCTCCTGTGGTAACAAATTATACAAAACACCAGTAATGCTCAGTAGTACCTTAGTGAAAAATGAGTTTAGACCAGTTTTAAGAACCCAATTTTCGGTTTCAAAAAAATTACCTCCAGCAATGTACTCCACGTTGTAATTTGATGCCATTTCATCATACCTGAGAATACATTCATCAAAATTATTTTCCATACACGATTATGAAAATAATCTTTCTATAGGGTAAAATAAAGAACTCCTTCTTTCCAACACACTTTTCTTCATTATATGGTCGCTTTCTTGTAACTTATTAGCTCAGCCTTAAGATCATCTTCTGAGTAACTGAACTAGCAATACATTTGTTATTGAGTAAAACAATGCTACTTCAGTTATTTGTGTAAAGAGCAAAATAAGATCCAAATTGAAAACACCCAACTGAAGATCTAAAAGGAAAAACAAAAAAGGCATTCTCCCTACTGGTACAAAGAACCCTTAAGGAGACAAAAAAATCAGTTTCAAAATAGGGAAGACAAGGAAAAAAAACAAAAAAAATTCAGAACAAGGAATACACTTCATTGTCAATTTGAACTACCAAAGAACTAGAAATCAAATTTGGGAGAATAAATTTGAGCAATTTAACTAGATACCATTTGAAGTAACAGTACCCATTTGGACATTCCCAAGAAACCATGTTCCTACTCTAATTAAATGAAAAGTGTCATTATCACATTAAAATTTTCACAAATATAACAAATCCATTCCAATAGTGAATTGATCTGTGCTCCGAAGTCTAAATGATACATTGTTTCATCAACATTTTGTAGAATTTAAAATTTGAGGTTTCATTTCTCATGAAAACTTCCACGTAAAACGTATACTGAAGACTGACTGTGAATCAGTTGTCAAGTTACATATATCTCTGCTGAAGTCTTCCAGTTACTCTATGTGACTTTAATATAAAAACCAACAAGCAAGCATAGAACAATATGAATTTGTGTTTCTGGAAAATATATTTTGCATGTCAACAACCAGAACAATCAATAATCTTTTTTTGCATGTGTTTGGTTCATCTGTCCAATGAAATGTCTAGGAGTCATCACTGGTCGGCAACACAAAAGAACTTATTGCCATACAAAGTATAATTGGAAAACGCTGTAGAGTATTAATGTGAAAAAAGAAGCTAATGGATTGTTCACTACAAGTTGCATACAAAACATGCCCAGATTTTATCATTGCTTTTCCGTAAGTATGCATCATAGAGTGAAAAACTTTTTAAAACTTTGTATTTATTAGGATTCTACAATTATATACAAAACAATAAAACAAGTAAAATACAAGAAATATTGCACCAGAAATTTAATTACTACTCTGGGTAAGATAAACCATCCGTCAAAGTAAACAGGGGATATTTACTTACATAGACAAGTGCTTTTCCTCCGCCAGAATTGCATTGTTCAATTTAATATCAAACCTGTGAAAAAATAAAAATGAGCTTAATTATTGCATCATAAAAAATCAGTAGTCCTAACGCACTGATCTGTACAATTATAACTAGTAAATCTGAGATCTTTAAAACATCTAAGTCATACAAGCAGAGAGATCTATTCATTGATAAGAAAAAGAACTCAAAACAATAACTGTTCACAAAAACAATATTACACGTGTGCTAACTTAAATACATAAACCTTCCACTGTTCCACATGTATGGATCTGTGAAATTAAATGCTACGAGGTGAAGCATCAGATAAGCAACTGCTAGATCTCGGTTTAAGCACGCATATACTTAAGAAAAAAAATGGTGTTTTAAAATGTAAAGATTAGAATGAATTACTTGTTCAAGAATTCTTGATCCACGACAGCAGAGATATCCAAAAGCGGGTTTCCCATTCCCAGCAGAATTCCTTCGTACTCCATTTCTGATTTTCGCAACTCAGGAATGGCTGAAAATATCAGTAGCGAAAGAGTACACTGTGTGAGGCTGCGGAGTGGGAAAGGTCAATTTATATAGGGAAGATTGTCCGTTGGTGAACTTGATCATCAATATCTGAATAAAATGCACCACGAGTTACTTGACTTTGAGAAGAAGTACATCTAGGTTAATCAGATCATCCAAACTTTGATTTGCTTCTTGATCTAATTACTCATCTTCAATTTGGTGAAATCAAGTCTCCCAACTTCGTTTTGTTTGCAAATATGATTATTATTTGAATTTTAGTATCAATTTGAATGCTAATTGGACAATAAAACTAAAGTATGATTACCATGTTTGTAGATGCATATCATAAGCCCCCATTTTGGCTGGATTAAAATTAAATCTTTAGTAGATTTTGATCAAAATTGATAAAATATATGATAAAAAAGATGTGTATTTCATGAAATATGTGATTAAAATTAATTGTTAAACTTTGATTTAGATTAAAATTTGAAATTTAATCCTGACTAAGTAGTGGCTAATATATTTTCTTGGAAAAAAATTACTTAAACTAAAAACACGTTTTTACATGTCATTCATTATTATGAATGTTGAAATTAGCGTATTTCTTTAGATAAAAAAGGTAATGGACAAAGTGGTCAGATTTCACAAGTAAATCAAAGTTAGGTTAGTTGATTGCACTAAATTGAATATGAGTGATTGGATGCAAATTGAAGTAGAGTGATGCGAAGATAAATGATCAAGATAAACATTAGCTCAAAGTTGAATGACTCATGATGCTTTATCCATATATTTCATTATAATTTAATAATCAATTCTCAAGAACAATGGTGTAAATCTTCAATAAACTATCATGTGACTCGAGGAAATATGCCTCCTTACAAATTTAGACATGAACTCTTGTATAGTTGAATATGTTAAAGATTAACTTGATACTTTTTCCCAACAAAAGGGTCAATTTTGTTATTAAAACTGTTTATTGAGGACCCAGAGTGCAATTTTGTTATTCTACAAGTGTGATGTTGGTAAGCGAAAGAATTTGTAAAAGTAGGTAAGCTTATACGGAGATTTTGAGTTTTTTCCCGTCAAGCTGATTGTGCTGTACCTTCACTTTTCTCTTAGTTTCATGTTATCTAATTAATTAGAGTGTTAAAGATTAACTTGATACTTTTTCCCAACAAAAGGGTCAATTTTGTTATTAAAACTGTTTATTGAGGACCCAGAGTGCAATTTTGTTATTCTACAAGTGTGATGTTGGTAAGCGAAAGAATTTGTAAAAGTAGGTAAGCTTATACGGAGATTTTGAGTTTTTTCCCGTCAAGCTGATTGTGCTGTACCTTCACTTTTCTCTTAGTTTCATGTTATCTAATTAATTAGAGTATGTTTCAGTTCCATCTTTTGCCCAAAATACATTTAGGAATAGTATTTTGATAGAGAATGTGTAGTTAAAAAATAATTTTTTTTTTTTGCATGTAATATTATCTCATTTAAAAATGTGTAGTTAAAAATAAAAGAAAAAATGTATTTTAAAAATAATGTGGACCAAACAAAGGTTCACATTAAAGATCCGCACTCCCAACTACCTATAAATTTAGCCCCCATTTGAATAAGATAAAAATCAAATTTTTAGAAGATTTTAATGAAAAATGATTAATTGTATGGTTCAAAATTTGTTGGTCATATGAAATGTGTTATTAAAATTAATTGTTGATTTTGATTTAGAATTTAATAAAAAAAAAATTAGTTGGACCAAACAGGAACATAATGTTAACGGTATTCATTTACAGAAGAGTAATATCATTCATCATTAGTTGTACAAATAGCGTTGGATGATTCCACAGATCAAGTCAAAATGGGATTGTGTGTTTTTACGTCTTACAATAATGTCTGATAACATTCATTATTTACTGTGATAGTAAACTACCGAATGATAGATAATACGAGGTGTTCATTGTCAACACGACGATTATCACAACTATCACACAAACACAAGAGAACATACAATAAATGTATAGGTGTCCTCGAGAGTTTACCCAGTGCGCACCTGAAGGGTAGCTGATGCAGATTTCCCCATCAAAAAAATAAAAAATGTATAGGCATCATTGCAGGTGATCAGAACCGTATGGTATAGTTTGGTAGGTGGAAGCGGGATTCATCAATGCGATCACCACCCTGATACCACAATCTTGAGATATACAGATTTTTGACAGGTGAATCTTTGTTCATTTTGAAGAAGAAAGAAAGAAATAATTCAAAATATTTAATGAACTTTGATAAATACTTGCAACAAGTATTGTTCTTTAGTACAGAAAAATCCTCACTTAAAGCAATATTTACATGTCATTTGCTTACAGACAAATCAAAACAAAACAGGAGTAAGGTAAAAAAAGATAGTTTAAACAGAAGTTTGTTTCGTGTGAAAAGATTTTTTTTTATCGGGTAAATAAATATATATTGATCAAAATTTCAACTTCAATTACTCCGGGCATTCCCGGACATAGAAATCAAGCATTATAAAATATCTAAAGATCCAAAACACCAGACACAAAATGAAACCAAACATAAAGTTTCAAGAGTTTTTGCAATTTCGTCTAATCAAAACTAGAACATGAAGTGTTGAACCTCTATGCTAATGTAAGCATTCCCCTTCTTGTTGAATCATTCATGTGAAATGATTTTTTAACAGATGGGAAGAGGATTTCCATTCCAACCCTTTAGGCATTCTAACAATGGATCGATCAGTCCTTTGCTCATTGCAGTGAACACCTTGTCAAATTCCTCGCCAGGTGACCTAACTTTTTCTCCAGTCAACAACTCGGTTTCGAGCACCTCTCGAACAAATTTGTACAGTGGGAAGGATCGACACTCCTTAATCCGTTAGGAATTTTTGGATTCCTACTCTTGAAGGCGATTTTTGCACTCTCAACTTCTTTAGGCAAGATGGACTTTAGTTCATCCTCAAAAGCTCAAATCTTCTAGAAGATGGAAGAGCTTGCGTTTCCCTCGTTCACACCATTTTCCAATGCACGATCAACTAGAACCTGCCATAGTTTTTGCATCAATGGGTAGGTTGCACTGCAAGGTTCATCGATGTAGGTAAAGACATATTCAAGATCCACCACACAAATCCAATCTTTCTCATAGAATCGTGAAGGGTGAAGTTTCCCATTGGCTCCCATTGTTAGAGTTCGTTTGGCTACTTGGCTAATAGTATTCTTGGCAGTGTTCCTCAAATTCTCCTCCAAGTGCCTCAAATCTATTGCTTGGCATAACGCCACGAGATAAGTGGATGACATGGATGTCAAGATATCTACAGCTTCAGCAGTTTTTTGAGACGAAATCAAACCCAACGTGTTTACATCTTGGTTGTGTTGCTTGGCACTCTAGACATGGTTTGTGACTGGATTTGCCAAAAACTAGAGTTTGAACAGTAAAAAGCTATAGCAATTTCCGTCCCCTTGAAACCGTAATTCAAACTTGGATTCCTCCCACCTGAAAGATTAGATTGCAATCCATTATTGTAGAATTCATTAACCAGCTTAGAAAATTGAGTAAACATCAACTTTCCAATTGATGCAATAGCCAATCTAGCATTGTCCATGAAACTCCAATTGGTGTAACCTGGAAGTTGCCACCGTATAATGCCTTGTTCCTTGAAACATTGATCAATGGATTATTGTTCATTGAGTTTATTTCCCTATCGATCATTTTCGTTGCAAAGCGAATGACTCTGATTTGAGGCCCAGCCATTGTGGGGACATTCTAAGCCTATACTAGCCTTGTTTTGGTTTTTGTAGTAGATCCATTTCGTGTAACTTTTGAGCAGCCTTCACATAGGAACTACCATCCAAAATGTGTTCTATTATAGCTGCAGCGTCTATTTGCCCCCTTTTTGGGTGTTTTCTCCACGTGAGAGAAGTTATTTTGTGGAAAGTGGGGGTACTTTCCACTTTCTCCCAAGTCAATTTAAAAGGTCCCAAATGCAAAGACAAAAATGGAGATAGAGATAGAGAGAGAAGAACGAGAGAGAGAGAGAGAGAGACAAATGATTTTTAGTTCTTCTTGCCAATGATCGAGGCTCATTTGTGGTCCGATTAAATTGAAATGTCAGCACGTTATTCCTAGCGAAGAGAGCTACGTTTTGACTAGAGCTGATCGTCCAGATCCCTTTCATTTCTCTAGGCAATACACACATGTTTAGTGAGATTTTCTCCTTGTTATTGTGTGTCTCTATTTTGGTATCTTTTTGTTGTTGGTATATATGTGTTCTTGATGTATTGGTAGCCTCTAGATTGTGTTCTGGTAAAGAAAAATTGTGTATCCCATTATTTTTCATAGTAGAAGGCTTCTACTGGACTAGGTCCCGGGGTTTTTCCTTTCATCGGTTTTCCGTTAACAAATCTTTGTGTTCAACTGTTAAATTTCTTGCGGTGTGAGTGAGTTGTTATTATTATTATTGTCATTTTAACTCTGAACATTTGAGGGGCTGAAATACTGTTTCCACTGTTTGTCTTACTGGTTCAACTCCAACAAAGTGGTATTGGAACGATTGGTAGAGTCTCTATATTTCTGGTGAGAATTAAAATGGAGGATTCGGCTAGTGGCATGGTTAAACTCACAACTTCCAATTATTCTATTTGAAAGACTAAGATGGAGGATATTTTGTATTACAAAGATCTATTTGAACCTATTCAATTGAATGGCAAGAAACCCGATTCTAAGACTGATGAGGATTAAAAAAAGTTGAATAGAAAGGTGTTGGACATATTAGGCAGTGGGTTGATCAAAGTGTCTTCCATCATATAGCCAAAGAAATAGATGCATGTAGTCTTTGGCAAAAATTAGAAGGTCTTTATGAAAGAAAATATGCACAGAACAAGGCCTTCGTGATCAAAAGGCTTGTAAATTTAAAGTACAGGTTGGTAATTGTTTCAAAGCACTTGAGCAGCTTTTAAGGGTTGTTGAATGAGATGTCTACCACGAAGCTTACACTAGATGATGAGGTACAGGCTTTACTTCTGCTAAGCTCCTTACCAGACAGTTGGAAAACTTTAGTTCTCTCTAAGTAATTCAGAGGAAAGAAGACTAATGGTCTCTATGGAACAAAAGCAAAATTAATCCATGGAGATGTGAATATTGTTGAAAATAAAGCTTCCACTGAGCTATGGCATAAGCGGCTTAGCCATAT